TATGCTATTTCTAGTGTTGCGTTTCCGATACCAAAGTTCTGAGTTTTTTTCCCGCTTCTCGATGATTCGATTTGTGCGCATCGCATTTTCGACAATGAATATCGTATTAAGAAGAGGGGAATACTGTACATACCAAAAGAAAAAAATCATGATATTATACTGTCTGAAATCGTCAAATATCGTATTAAACCGGTTACGAACCCTTGAACTAGGTTTTTTTCGATCCAACTTCGTTCGTACTCCCCAAAATGTGTGTGTGTTTTGTTCGTTTAAGTATTCGTGTGTTCCACAATACCCCGCCGCGAGAGCAGGTGTTGAACAGTATTTGGGTGACCGGTAAAAAACGGTTTTTATAAGTATACGTTTTTAGTCGTGATTTTGCGAACAGACAATATAAAATACATTAGTTGTTACTTGTTACTAGGTAGTAGGTACAACACTGTGATGGCTGTTTCACTGAGTATGAGGGTCGTTCGAGAAATCTTTACCACGACGTCAAAACAGATGTACCCCTGTCAGCGTTCGGGTATTCGCTATATTTGCTGTAAGAATAATATAATTTTCATTTACATTTTCGGTCGCACTATTATTTATATTATTGGACCGAATGTTTTTAAGCATCGGCGTCGCAGTGTATACACTGTTGTCAGGTTTCCATTATACCATTGTGTGTGTGTGTGTGTGTGTGTGTGTGTGTATATGCGTGTGTAATCGAGGAATTGAAATCTCCCGGGTTGGCACACCCTATTGTCGTTAAACTGGGGAAGGTGAGGATATAAGGGAGGGACGCTAGTGTTTTCCATTTACGCGGTCGTTGTGTACAGGCGGCGGCGGTATTATATACACAGTAATAGCGCTTCGTCGTCGTCGTTTTATTTACGAAAACGTATCGGCGCGCGCAATGATAAGCGTTTTGAGGAGAAAAAAAATATATTGTTCGGAAAGAGAACGTCGATGGTGGAGTAGTACTTTTGTGGACCATATTAAGAGCTTGAAACAATATATTAGTAACGAGTAATGACTACTAATAACCGATATTGCTCTGATGTGATGTGCATATCGATGAGATTATGCAATTATTATTGTTATTGGGAGAGCAATCGGTGATTTCTAAAACCGACCGACTTCCAGTTTCCGACGGTAACAACACGAAAAAAATATTTCAAATTAATGATAATAATAGTAAATAATAATAGGCGAGGAAATCGGGTTAAATGTTGACTGGAATGTAGCCCGCTCGCTGCGTTATAATAAGGTTCGGTGACCCGCTGTCGTTGGGGCCGTGTACATCCGCCGCCGGATTACATTTTTATAATATTATTATTATTTTATAACGTTGCGTCGTAAGCAATAATATTATTATATATAACGTTATGTACCTATAAAATACCTTTCGTTTTGCGACCGTGGCCGTGTTATATTTTGTTGCGGACGAAATTCCACGATCCGAGATGCCGTTTTCTGCCAAATGGTAGTCTGAGGGGGCGAGGAGGGGACGATGACGACCCATTATCGATTCTCGCTTTTGTCAAATTAAAACCAAAAAAAAAAAAGTTTTACGCTCACGTCAATCGAGAAATAATAATAAATTCGAAACCTGTGGTTAGGAACTGCAGCAACAATCACCAATGCTAATGTTATGTAGGTACGACTTCAGCTGGACAAGCTGCTTATTAGGTATTATTATTTTTATTTAGTTGGTACTTGGTACATGATATTATCATTATGTTTACCATGCCGTCCGCTGGAGCGGTGGCCAGTATCGTACACATAGTATTATTATTATATAGTCTCGTCGTCGTCGTCGTCGTAGTTGTCGTTCCTGCCCATATATGGTGGGCGGGGGTAAGGGGATGTGCCGAAAAGGGTTGGATAGTATATATATATAAAGCGTAGTATATATATATATATGTATGTATATATGTTTATGTACAAAATCAATAGTTCGCACGGGTTATATGTATGTAAAAGGTGGAAAATCGGGTAACGGTCACACACACACACACAAACACGCATATATAATATATAGGGATGTGATGGGTGTGAGGGGTAGAACTATAGAAGTATAGTAGTAGCACTACTACTACTAGCTGCAGCAGCTGTATATAGAGTATAGGCCTTCTTCTAATCGATACCTCCTCTTTCTCGGCAGCAGCGGCGTACGTATCCTCAGTCTCGGCTGTATATAACCCTTCGTTTTTGAGACGACCCCAAAACGTGTGAACACTCCTTCTAAGCCGACCGATTGCTCCCATCTCTCGGCTCAGGGCATTGACGTTCGCACTACGCTTGCTTGATATTAAATACCGATGGTTTTCATACATTTTGCTCGCGATTCATGTTTTATGTTTGTTGTCGTCGAGGTAAGTCAACCCTAGGGTTCTCGTTGCAATCGATTGGCTTTTATGAAAAAGACCGACCAAGACGACGATGATGACAATTACTTTTGCACGGTGTAATTATATATACCTACCTATCGAGCTATATTACAATATGGTGCACGTTGTAATATGGTTATCGCTCCCGGTTGTCGGGCGGCGTCGGCTAAATAATGATACGTAGGCGAGGTGGAAAAACGGATTTACCGGATCGTCACTGGCGCGGCGGGGGGATCGGTCACGTCACCCTCCCTCCAACCACCGCCTTTCACCCCGTCACAGTCGTCGTGGTATTATAAGAATCGGTTTGGCAACGTCGGGCTACAGAGGCTGTGTCTGGGTCTGTGTGTGTGCGTGTGCTGTGGGCTTGTGGCTGCTGCCCGGCAGAAAACTGTGTGTATATAACTGAATATAACAGAAATGTAATTCCCCTTGCTATCGTCTCCCCCCGTCACATGGTAGGTACCCCGTACCACCTCCCCTTGCACCACGTACAGTCGTCGTCGTCGTCGTCATCATCACACCAACCGACACACCGCGCGATCCACCCCCCTCCTCATCACCGAACTTATCCTCCTTTCCACTCTGCCATGACTATTGTGCACGTGTGTGTGTATATTTATCTGTACTATATATATATATATATTTATATACAACATTCACGTACACACTTATACACTTATATATATTATTTGCTACCACCCCCGCCGCCCTCGCCGCTGCAGTGTTCCGCTCGCTCGCGTGTACACATCGATTCGTTGTAAAGCCGACAGTGTTGACAATCGACCGATTTCCTCCTCCCGCCGTGTAACAATATCGTATACTATATATATATACCTACGCGCAGTCCGAAGTCGCGTCCAAATGGATATTATAATAGCTGCTGCAGCAGTAGTGGCGAATTCTGCACTTCAGGACGTGGTGTCATCCACAAGCTACTTCGTGTATTATTATAGTATAACAGCGAGGCTCGGTCCGACAGTTTTCTCCGACGCAGACAATCCGAATAATGATTTGTAAAATGCTGCAGTAGAGGTATACACCGCCGAGATACAGATGTAGGCGGCCGCCACTTCCGGGGTCACGCGAGAATGGATTCCGATTTTCCGGCCAGACCGTGCTGTATTATAAATATATATGCGTACTGCACTCATATAGCTTTTACAGATAGTAAAGTGCTCTGCTGCGGCAGTGGTGTATTTAGGATTTTTCAAATGGGATTATACCTGTATAATGAACATCGAATGATGGGCGTCAGCCTCACCGCCGATACTTCGTGTGTATACATCGCGTCTAACTCGGTGACATGATGGGAATTGCCTCTTATCACGGGTTTACTCATTTTTCCTATATGTATACAATATAATATAAGTGATTTTAGGTATCTAAATCGCTCTAAAACTGCCTTCCGAGAGGCTGAACGACCAAATATGTACCGTACGTTTCGTAGATAACAGTACAATATTGCTGCTATTGTGCCGCGGTTAACGCGAGAATGGATATCGCTTTGAATTCCGGTTTTTAACCGCGCGCGTAACGGTTGACGAAAAATAAACTTTAACGGTTTTCCTCGTTTGTCGGTCGTTGGCGGTCGAGATTTCCGCAGTACGGCTAACGCTTGTGGCTCGTCGACGTGAATTTTTTTAACAATATATTTGAACCGAAAGCGAAACACTCGTTCGTTTACCATATAAATATCATTATTATATTATTATAATATATGACGTCACATCGAACATTATTTTTTACTGTTAACAATTTTTCTAGTAAATGATTTTAATCGTTTTCTAGTTGTACGTATTGCATAGTATATATAATATTGTTTAGAATCAACGCGTTTTATAATTTAAAAAAAAAAAGTTAGATATGCAATTTTGTGATTATTTTTTCCATTCATTTTTTGTATCCCATTGAGAAAAAAATAATAATATCATAGAAACTTATTCAAAATATTTATCGAAAAGTTATAAGTATATTATTATTTTATCGCTCCTCCGTGGTGGCCAGTGAGTCGATGCCAATGTATATAAATATATAGATTTTGTCGTATAATATTATTATTTTTTATCGATTTTTACTACGTTACTCTACTATAAGTATACTTTGTATATTTGTAGTTGTCCATTGCATAGTCATTATTTAATGGACTGTTTATGTGGATGTTTTTTTTCAAAACTCGAACTTGATAAATGATAATAATTCGTTCTTTAAAATAATTAAAAACTGGACTTAATCAATAATTTATATTATTTTTGATTTTTAGCAAACTGTTTCATATAATAATGTTACACACGACGTATTTTCGGGTTTCGTATATATTCATCGAATAATAATAATATAAGTTACATATACCTCGATAAGGCTTGTCCGCGAAAACCGCAACATCGAAAAACAAAATAATTCACATGATCCCTTCCCCCCTACCTCTCCGTGTTACTGTAGTCTGTAATAATCATCGTTTCCACAATATTCTAATGTTTTCCACGACGACTATTAATTATTATTATTGATTGTGATAAAATGTTATCGCCGTGTGTAGGTTGTCGTGTTTAATGTACAAATATAATATTATAAATTATAATATAATTTTAATTTTGTATTTTCGTTTTGTGTGTTAAATAGATGTCAGCCGGGACTCAGCTGCAGATGGCTCCGCAGGCTGGCCAAATGCACCTACCACACCCTCAACCGGGGAGTACTATTCATAGCCAAGACTCGAATATGAGTACAGGTTCGTCGCACAGCGACAAGGAGCAGGACACTCCGGAGAAAGCCAACTCTATCACCCGCACGCCTACCGAGCGCAAGCGCAAGCGGAAAATAGACGACATAGCCAGCAACAAGCAGCAGCAACCGCAGCCGCCAAACATGGTGGTCGGGGGGCCCCCTCCGCCACCGCCTAGGTCGGTTACCGACACCAAGAAGATAAATGACTACTTCACCAAGCACGGTTCCCATCCCGTGTCCAACCCGATGAGACACGGCGGGGCGAAGTCACCGTCGCCAGGCGGACCTCCACAACAAGGTTACCCCATGGTGAGTGTAATTCGGAAGAAAATATTTTTATAAATAAAAAAACCAAAACGAAAACTTAAACAAAAACTTGTCCACCGAAGAAGAGCTTGTCTGTCGTCGGCAATAACAATAACAATGATTTCTCGTTTCGTTTCTAGTTTAATCCGGCGAGTGGGCCTCAAGCATTGAGTCCCGTACTACCTCCGGACTATGTTTCCATACTCCACCCACCTAGGATTAACTCTAGTTCCATTACAAAATGTATACAGACTGATTTAACGAGTCATGCAATCCAAGAGTTTGAATGTCAGGCTTCTTCGGATTTGGAACTCAGAAATAATAAAATTGATGATTTGAATAGGGTAATGACATTAGTTTTAAATCGCTTGTATAGTATAAAATTATGATTACATAATATATTTATAATTTAAAATAAATCATTATTTGGTTTTAGACAAATGAAGAACTGAAACACCAATTAAGCAGTCAACAGAAAACCATCGAACAGCACAAGTCGCATATAAATAAGTGCATAGATGTGGTAAAGAAGCTTTTAAAAGAAAAGTCTAATATTGAAAAAAAAGAAGCGAGACAACGGTGTATGCAAAACAGACTTCGGCTTGGCCAGTTTGTAACGCAAAGGGTTGGTGCGCAATTCCAAGAAAATTGGACTGATGGCTATGCATTTCAAGAATTGTCCAGGTATGTGTGAAACACTTTTTTCATAGTCAGATTACTTATAATTAATATGTTGTTATTCATTGAGCAGAAGACAAGAAGAAATAACATCAGAAAGAGAAGAGATTGACCGACAAAAAAAGATGCTAGTCAAAAAGCGGCCATCAAATAGTGAAACTGGTGGACGTAAACGAGCTAGCAGTCAGTCGGGTACAGGAAGTAGTAGTTCGACTACTAACAGCGTACCAATCAATTCAACACCCTCTGTTACGCCACCCATAACGCTACCCAGCGCAAGTATCAACAATAACCAAGTAACTGGTGCTACAACAGGCACGGTCTTGCACAACGGCACTGTAGCCCCATCGTCCGCATTGGACACAGCAACGTTCCTAAAGCCAGAAGCTGTTCCAGGTTTATCGTGGCAAGAGTATTATGAAGCAGATGAGATACTCAAGGTAAATTTTATATTTGCATACAACCAACTGAATTGATATATTATTTAATAAGTTTTGGTCCTTACAGTTGCGACAGTCAGCATTGAAAAAAGAAGATGCTGATTTGCAGCTGGAAATGGAGAAGTTGGAGCGAGAGAGAAATTTACACATAAGGGAACTGAAGAGGATTCACAATGAAGACCAATCTAGGTTCAACAATCACCCTGTGTTAAATGACCGTTATTTGTTGCTCATGTTGTTGGGAAAAGGTGGCTTCAGTGAAGTCCACAAAGTGAGTACTAAACTGTTAACTATTGGTTGATAATTATTTTATTAATTAAAATTATATTTTTATTTGTTTTTTTACAGGCGTTTGATCTAAAAGAACAACGTTATGTAGCATGTAAGGTTCACCAACTGAATAAAGACTGGAAAGAGGATAAAAAGGCTAATTATATAAAGTAATATAAAAAATTGTCAATTTTCGTTTATGGAAATTTAATAAACAAATTGTGTTTTTAGGCATGCACTGCGAGAGTACAATATTCATAAATCTTTGGACCATCCAAGGGTTGTTAAATTGTACGATGTGTTTGAAATAGATGCAAATTCGTTTTGCACTGTACTTGAATATTGTGATGGACACGATTTAGATTTTTATTTAAAACAGGTGAGACAAACATATTACAAAAGACATTAATATAATATAAATTCCTTGTTAAACACTTCAAATAATGTTATCGATTTTGAATCTTTAAAGCACAAGACGATAGCAGAACGAGAAGCTAGATCAATAGTTATGCAAGTAGTATCTGCTCTTAAATATTTGAATGAGATCAAACCTCCTGTGATACATTACGATTTAAAACCTGGTATGTATTATTTATTTAAATTAAATTAAAATGATTATTCATTTTGAAACTTGTTTTAGGAAACATATTACTCACTGAAGGAAATGTCTGTGGTGAAATAAAAATCACAGATTTTGGCCTTAGTAAAGTGATGGATGAAGAAAATTATAACCCAGATCATGGAATGGACCTAACGTCACAGGGAGCTGGAACATATTGGTGAGTAATGGAATTAAAAAAATGTATAATTTTCATTAATTGATGTTAATTTTTGTAAATCTAATATAAAAACTAACTATATTATATTCTCTTTTAGGTATTTGCCACCAGAATGTTTTGTAGTTGGTAAAAACCCACCTAAAATATCATCTAAAGTGGACGTTTGGAGTGTTGGTGTAATATTTTACCAATGTCTGTATGGCAAAAAGGTAATATAACTAAAACTTTTGTTCTTAAAATTTATTTATTTTTGACTATTATTATTATTATTATTTGTTATAGCCTTTTGGTCATAACCAATCTCAAGCTACAATTTTAGAAGAAAATACAATATTAAAGGCTACTGAAGTACAATTTGCCAATAAACCTACCGTCAGTAATGAAGCAAAGGTATATAAACATTTTATATGTATTGAGTATTCAAATTTCATACATTAGTTATGATTTATATCAGTGGCGCCGAAGTTTTTAAAATGTGGTCGGGCAATTTTAAAACTTCCCGGCCTCAATATCTTAATTATTTAATATAGAGGTACCCTAATATAAATTTATTCATAATCACGGTTTAAATTTACTCATGCTTATAATAAAGTTATGATGTAAATTAAATATGGCCGGCCATTAAGTTAACTATTAATATTTGAATAGTAAATTGCACGACACTCAATCATTTTAACAATATTAAAATAAACTAATAATATACATGTATAATATGATATATTTTTTTTACAGAGCTTTATTCGTTGCTGTTTAGCATACCGTAAAGAAGATCGTATTGATGTGTTCACCTTATCTAGGCATGAATACCTGCAACCACCATTACCAAAACATGGCCGTCAGTCGGCTAATAATCAACAACAGCAACAGCAGCAACAGCAACAGCAACAACAGCAGCAGCAACAAATATCAGCAGCTAATTTTGCATCCGGCATGTTTGGTAACATGAATGCATCAAGTTCGTCCTAAGACCAAGATATAGTTAATAATAAATACTAAATAATTATAAATAATATAATGTGAACGGACAATATATAAAACACGCCTTGTGCCATTTGGATTAAATTATTTGACCAAATAAAAAATGGTGTTCACAAACGGCCTTAGGAAATTTTAATTGAGTGATCATTATTATTATATTATTATATTATTATATGAATGTACTAGTCAAATCGTTTTTGTCACTGCTGCAAATGAGTTCCTGAGTACATTTATGATGTTTATGTTTTACTATTACCTAAATAAAAAAATAGTGATAATTGTTCTAGAATCATCTGATTCTTGTGGACAATAATTTTAACTGTACTCTGTACACATTAATAATTACACTACAAAAGTAAGATTAGTTGTTTATTAAAAAAATGTGAAAAAGAATGAAAGCTTTAATTTATAAACTATTTTCTGCGAATACCTAATATGTTAGATTTCATTATAATGATATAATTGTCCCATCATCACAATTTATTTTTATTTTTGCTTTGTACAGTTTCACCATTTTATTTTTTGTATATATATCTGTACAAATATATTTGTACATACATACTGATTTTTTTTGTAAATGACATGTGAATTCGATTTAAGAATTTTGAGGATAAAATGTTATTTAGTTTGTTTATTGTTAACACAAAAATGTTTATTTTGTTGTGATAAAAAAAAAAATACGCAAAAAGAAATTGTGGAGAAAAAGAAATATTAATATGATAATAATAATAGTTTTTCCTTAACATTTGGAAAAATTAAAAGGCGGTTTTTTTTCGAGCCAATGAGACTTTATAATTATTATTTTAGACACACTAGATTTGTTGTAAGGTTTATTACTATCTTTAGTAATAACAAACATTGTATAATTATTATTGATACTATTATTATTACTATTATAAAAATAAAAGAAAAATGAATTTAAAAAAAAAAGAATGTGTACCTAAATTTTTTTACTCAAATGTATATCCTATGCTCGAATTATTGTAATATTTGGCATAATATACTCCTTGCTTTAGGTTTTGTTTTTTGTCCATTTAATAATATTTTTAATATTATTTTATGATTTAATTGACTACTTGGATGTGAAATAATAATAATAAAATACTATACCACATTACTTGATATGTTTCCTCTACAAGGAAAATCAATGAATTATAAATGTGTTTTTGTTAATAAGTTACCATAACAACGAAAACCTTATGAAAAATCTGTCACAAACATTTTATAGTGTATCCATTCGGCACAAAAACATTAATATTAAAAAAAAAACCCCTGATCATTCAATAATATATTTCTAACAATTACACTTCATTAACAAATTGCAATGTATTTGGCATAGTGTCACTTATCATTGTTTTGGTTGAGTAGTTGATGACTCTCTGATTAAAATTAATTATTGATGTTAGTAATGTTATTTTAAATTGTACATTTATAATTCTTTTATATTATTTATAATATTCAACAAACTATAAAGTAAATGTTTTAAAGTAGGGTTTGTTAAGGGGATTCCATACTACCGCTTTTTCGAGTAAAATAGACCTATACACGTTCCATTGTTCCAACGCACTAACTTGAGTTTTACTCCTATAATAATTTTGAAAACATATTTGAATTTATTTATTTAGGTCTATATAATCGTTAAAATCTGAAAAAAAAATTAAAACTATTTAGGTCCATTCAAATTTTTAAGAATACAAGTTTATTTTTTCTAAATTTCAAGTGAGGTTTTTTCTTATTAAGAATATTGAATTAAAAATGTGGCTTGAAGGAACCAAAGTTGATTGAACATCAAAACAAAATTTGTTTTCAAAATTATTATCGGTGTAAAACTCAAGTTGGTATGTCGGAATTCGTTTAGGTCTATGATTTACAACATTTCGCCATGCAATAAATTTGTTGTCAGGCATAATGTGACATGTGCATACTGCATGCTAGTGCGAAACGCTTACCTAGTTAACAGGGAAGTCCCTCACACTAATGATCACTTTCTACACACACACATGCACACCACTCACGCACGTATTATACAAATTGTCTAAAAATTGCCTATACTCAACTCCTTAAAAACGGTCGGTATGGAATCCCCTTAATTATTGTACATATTGTGATGGAGCCAATCTTTTCAAACATTGATTATCTGTTTATTAGAAACCACAAAGAAGAGGACACTAATTGTTTTGAGGATCAACAATGAGATAAAATATTCCACAATTTTATTATGCCGTCATTGGTTATTATCTTATAAATTTTAAGACATTAACAAAACACACTATTAGTGATTTTCCAAGTGATGAAATAATATATCAATTTACTGAAAGTAAATAAAAATTGGATCTTATACTTGAATATTCAAGATATATGTACCTTCCATACTACATATACGGTAAATTACTTTAAAGTTTAATTGAATAGTGTTATTCTAGACATTTTTTGATCCAAAACTGGTGTAAAACTCCATACTATCCCGGTGTGTAATAATTAACTACCTAAACAACAATATGATGCAAATATCCTGGCACGTTTTTTTTACACTGGTTTTAGAAAGCGAATTTCTAGATTGTTATGATTATAATTAGTAGGTATTTTGTAGTTCAAATACAATTATATATTTATGAGTTTGCTTATGTCAAATATCCAAAATTATTATAAATAAACCAATAAGATATAAAAGTACTCATACAAAAATACAATACCTATATATTTAATGCACTATATTACTATCAATTATACTTTTGAAATTATTTAAAAAAAACCTATGATGAAGTTTCAAAATATTTTGTAAATTCATAACATAATATTTTGTATAATGCAAATATCAGTATTCAGTAAGACAAAAACCAACGCAAATTAGTTAACATAACGATAACGTCATAAACCACATAGTATTGTAGAATAAAGCAGTGAAGGACTATGGACTATGGTTAACATCCATAATTATTAATAATTCATATCTAAATTTTTTATAATTTTAGGTTTATACGATATTTTCAACGCTATCTAGTAGCAAATAATGTAACACCTGGGCACAATGCGCGATTTAAAAGATAAGACCGTGGCCCAAGTTGGGCTGCCCAATATTATCATCACGGACTAAGATATATCCACAGATATTATATATCACATATCTGTGGATATATCTAGTCCGTGATTATCATGTGGTTCTTATAAATTATTCCTTATCAAATAACATTATTTTATATTGATAATATTTTATGAACATTTGAACATTTTTAACATTTCACAGTAATTCACATTATAAAAAGTAGTATTTTGTTTGACCATTTCACACTTTTACCGAGTTTTTTACAGTTGTGTACTTATTTTTAAGTTAAAACTCTAAATTTGTCATTAATTGTGGCACTAACATTTGTTTTCGAAATAATAAGAACAATAATTTTTATACATCAAATTTCTAATAAAAAATAGTCTGTTAAAAGTTAAAACACAAAATGTTGAATTGTGTAACCAGTAAGTTGACGTTACTTTGTCACAGTAGGCCTCCATCAAGTTTCATCAATCTTCGGGAATGTGTGGCACTATTTGCTACTCCCAAGACGGACTTTAGCACCTCTTCCATCAAATTAGTTGGCGCAAAGGATGAACCTACACGTTGGTTATCATATAACGATGTTATTTACCCGCCACAGGAACCCGGGGAAGAGAGAAGACCAGCTGTATGTTAACTATAGTATTTATGTAGTCATGTTGAATACTTGAATTATGCTATTTTATTTCAATGTTACAGTTTGTGTGTCACCAAAAACTAAATATCAAATACAGCCCCAAAAAAATGTGGTATGTCGCAAGCTTTGTGCGTGGCATGTCTGTGGACGAAGCACTTAAACAATTACCCTTGGTCGGGCGTAAAGGTGCCACTATAGTTAAAGATACTATTTTAGAAGCTCAACAGCTAGCCATTGAAAATCATAATGTCGAATTTAAGACAAATCTATGGATCGGTAAGAATAAAATTTGTTCAATTTAATCACTTTGTTTTAAAATTTCTGTGTTTAATTTTAACTCATTAACATTATATTTTTAAATGTTTCTTTTTTAATATTCATTATTCAATACCTTTTACCACCGATGATTATTCAGTAATTTATGCTTAGATCAATTTAAGTTACTTTAGTTCTGCAGTACAGGTAATATAGGTTAAGCTATATTCAAACATTTTTGATTTCTTATTTAGTTTAATGGATTACGTTGTTGCAACCTTAAGATAGATAAATTAGTTTATTATTTATAAACCATTTGTAATTTTTTTGATGAGAAGTTAAATTAAATAAAAAAAATTTTATTTTATTTTCGGTTCAATATCAATAAACTAACATATTATTTTATTATAAAATCAACGATAATACCTATTACCTAGAATTATAATGGAAAATAATTTAATTATTACAAAGTATTATATAAAAATGTGAACAAGTTTAAATATAGGTACATGATATGATCACTGAAAGTACAGTTTTAATTTACAACAGATAATATTATTATATTTTCAAATTTTATAATAATATTCATTTGTTTTATTCTAGCTGAGTCATTTTGTGGTAAAGGTCCAGTAATAAAAGGTATGCGCAGACATGCTAGGATGCGAATGGGTGAAGTCATGTACAGGTACTGTCATTATTTTGTAAGATTAGAAGAAGGTACACCTCCAGAAAATTATTATTATAGCTGGCCTAAGACAGGCCCAGCTCTGTTAGCTCAATGGGTTGATGAGGTCCGTGACCGTAAAATTCAAGGATCATTGTAAGGCTCATTTAAAGATAACAACTAGTTGTAAGAAATGTATTTGTTTATATATATATTTACTAAAATAAAAAAAAAAATTGTAAACTTACACGAATTATGTGTTAATTTTATATTTTTGTCTTTGTAAAGCTTATAACCTAAAACGTAATAGCAAAGAAATTATTCAAATTATTATATATTTATAACTTAAACAAATAATATCCAAATAACCTACCTATAACAAAAAAAGAATATTGATGTGATATTAAGTGAATATTGCAGGACTAAATGAGCATAAGTTTTTAGTGGTTTTTAGTGGGCTCTTCACTCAAGTTGCACTAAGGTACAAAAAAAACTTAAATATAATTTATGCTTATTATACATTTATACCCTAACTCCTAAGTTATTGTGCAACAGAAATAATAAAACTTTATTCTCGTATTATATTGATGTAATTGTTGATGAATATGTATTTTATTACATAAAAACATACTATAATGCCAGGGCCGGACTGGCCCAGTGGTCTACTGTCCTACAGGGCAATGGGCCGTTGTCTTTGGCTGGGTTTTGGGCCGGTGCCTATTGTTAGTACAATAATATCGGTAGGTAAATAAATGAATATTAAAAGTAAATTGTTTCAAAGGCAAATGAAATATATTAAAAATCCTTAGTCACAGTTATTTTTTATAGGCATTTAAAGTTCAAAAATTGACAAAATATGGAAAAATCATGAAAATTAGCAAATTATTTTAAGTTAAGAATTCGTAAAAATTTTTCTTTTTAAATCTTAGATTTTAAAATGTAATACAAGATTCCTTATAAAATTATCTACCTTTACCGAAAAAAAAATGTCTATAAGAAAGTCAAATTAAATTTTTATGAGCTTTTGAAATTCAAATTTTTACAACATTGGATATTCACTCGATTTATCATGTAGCGATTTCTTTATTTTGTTGTAATTCAAAAACGAATAACTGTAGATACATGAAAATCTCACTGAATGTTTATATTACAATTTCCTATACTAAAAATTACAGACCGACAGTTTATTTTTATAGTCATTTTAAGCTCAAATTTAGACGAAATTATATTATAAAAAACCTTTTTTTTATTTTTATTTTTTTTTTAAGAGAAATTTACAATCTATACCTTAGGCACAATAGGTAAATGTGATACAGAATATACATATAAGGTATCAAAACAAATTAATATTAATAATAATAACAGTTTACAATAAATTATATACAACATGTTACGTTTGATGAGAGCAGCCACCCATTAATGACACTTTCGCACGTTTTTTATAAAAAACCTAGAATAACTATTTTAGTTATTTTGTTGTTTAAAATTTATAAAATGTTCAACTTTTATAGCTAAGGATTGAAAATTTAAAACAAGGGTCCACGTAAATAGGTAAATATATAAATTACTTTATTCACAGTAATAATATCATTAAAATATATACTTAGTAATATACTAATATCATAGGCTGTCTGACCGTTTTCGCTCAGAATCGTTTTTCTTATACAATGTTATTATATCATTGAATTCAAATTTAACACCATCCATTACAGCGACCCACTTGTAACCTACTGTACTAACCGAATTTTTTTCATTATTTTTATTGTTTTTTATTTAGTTAGTTGTATGCATATATCAAGATAATGGAGGTAACTAAAGTATTAACTATAGTCCCAATGTCATACTTTCCATATTAAATTTCAATTACAGATGCTTTTAAAATTCAATTGGTACTTTCATTTGAATAAACAATTAACAGAATGAAAATTGTCCTTTTGTACACTCAATTATAATTTTTACTTAACACATTATATTATACTATAAAGAACTACAATGACACAAATTAGGTACATCAATGTATAAAGAACCAACCTAAATAGTAAATATAAAAAAACTCAAATGGTTCCAGTTTCTATGACGGATAAATCATAAATGATTCTCAGATGACTCTCTTTCATAATATATCATTAGGTATATTATTTGGGGGGGCAAAAAAATTGTTGGTGACTAAGCCCCCCTTCATAGGGCCGCTATTATATTTGGGATAATGGGCCGGACCCTACCCAGTCCGGCCCTGTATAATGCAAATGCATTTGAAGGCAGTTAAATTTAACTAGGTAAATCACGTTAATCACGTGAAGTTCAATTAATATTACAATAGTTGTCAGTTGATACTTGTTATAAGCGCAAGTCTGTGTAAAAATAAGAAAATTATAAAAATACTCATAATTTTATTATTTTTTCTATTGCTGAAAACGTAACAATAAGACAAACATATTAACTACGGATACCTACTATATGTGTTTAGGTAGGTCATTTTTATTGTAAAATATTAAATAACCAACTATTATAATTTGTTAGTCCAATGATACAGTAGGTAACATTTTTTACAGTATTTATTGTATCCCTGCTATGTATCATAGTCCCCATGAAATGAGTTGCTAACGTAAACATGGTTCATCGGGAAATGGAAGAAACGAGGCACATGTACAAAATGTCAAATAACAAATAATGAAATAGGTAAGTTGGCCAAGTTGGGTACATCAGTGGCGGTGATTCTATAGTCCATGTGTTGCTTCACATATTTATTTGTAATAAAAAAGCCTTCAACAGGTATGTCGCCAACACCTATGTTCGAAAAAAAATAACATTAAAATTTTTTTTTTTAACGTATAGATCGCCATTTAAATAAATAGTATAGCGCTGTTTGAGAGATTAAAATAAGTTCCTTCATTTTCAAAATATAAGTAACATAATCGTCGTTTTCAAAACTGTTTTCAATCAATTTCCTATTTAGTCATTTAGAACAAATATTTTGGAAATTTTTTGAGAGCAAAATTGTTACTCGACGTTGCCTTAAGCTATCTAGCTTAGTTTTGAAGTTCGCTCGGAAATCCTTACAGCACAAAATTCCTTATGAATTGTCTATTATATATATTTTTTGTTTGTTAAACATTTTTGTTTCAATTAGAAGTACCTATTATTTATTTTGTAACTAATTTATAAAAATAAAGATTTGTTTTTACAAAAAAAATCATTATATAAATTATACTTTGATATCGCTCAAAAATCAACTAAAATATGAGACTCACATATTGAATATTGGTAATTTGTGTTTTCTAATTAATGGTTTTTGCAGGTGGGTGGGTTCTCACAATTTTTGTCAGAAATACATATTTATTTGAGGATAGCCGCTACTGGGGTACATAATGTCACAGGCCACAGATAGGTACATGATATTAATGATTGTGATTTTTCCATATAAAAAAATTTTTTATCGCTTGAATTAGTAATCTGAAATTCTTTATTATAAATTATAATAGTCCAAAGTTCGTTTGATTCACATCGAATATATCTGAAGCTGGTAACTGCAAGTCGACCCTAGACATAATAACGAAAATGTACCGATATACCACGATCGGTATATTTGTGCTACACTTATTTTTTTTTAAATGCATCAAACAATCAAGGGAATACTACGTATAGAGGGCGTACAATTTGCGAAGTTCCGATCATATACCCTACAGTCAAGGTGGTTGGCAAAATTAACAACAGCATATCACGTGAGTCGAAAACTTGAATATCATAAATGTACAAGTTAAGCAAGAGCGAAGCAATATGTGATCTTTGTGGGATAAGTCATAAATAGTTAGAATAACTTCGAGCAAAAGTACCTATATTATTCAACATATTCCTTTCTGTTTGATATAAAATAATTTAAACATAAATCACTCGACATTGAAGAAATTAAATTTTTGACTCGAATATTTCGTCCGCTTCATTATCCATGTCTGGATTTCGTTACATGCTGACATGGTTACAATAGCTATAACCGGGCAAAACATTTAGTATGAGCATAGGCGCCAGGTACATGGGTGCCCGGGGGCTCAAGCACCCATTAAAATTATTATGGGGTGCCGGGCACCCATTAGAATATTGAAAATGTATAGAGTGTATTTATATCCAAGTTTTGACAATTTTAGCAAACGACTATTGAAATACAATTCTAGCTGTGATCTTTTTCAGCACTTCGAAGATTAAAAACATTTTTAAGGTCTACAATGAAACAAAATCGTCTTAACGATATTTGCTTTATTGTTTGTCCGTCGTAATGAAGATATAGACATTGATAGCTAAGAGCTAACTCATTTATAAATTCAATTATAATAATAGGTAGGTACGTCAAAGCATATTTATTTTCTGAACAGTCAAATTAAATTTATTTTATTTTTTGTTTTACTTATTATTATTATTTATAAATAAGTTCCCAATTTGGTATACATTTATTTTGTTGTATAATTAATTTATTTTATAATCAATGATGATCGCATATTTCAGTGTACAACATGGTATATATTATAATTTAATATTTGTATACACCAAAAAAATCCATAAGAAAATGCAAACGTTTTTGGTGAAGTAGTAGAATCATGACACCTATAGGCGAAATTTGGAGAGCCAAAATTAAAATTTTAGGGGGTTAAATTGCAACTAGCCCCACCTGAAAAGACAATTCCAAATTTTACGGGGAAATTTGTCTTGACCAGTGGCTAAGCCCCCTCCCCCAAAATTATGTATTTATACCTAAGTTAGTATGATACCAATGGTACCAAGGCACCCATTAAGTTTTTTGAAACCTGGCGCCTATGAGTATGAGTATGCCTATTTGTACTTCCGACAATTCTTTCATTCACTCAGCTCAGATGAATCTTATTTAGTATATAATATAGCTGCTATATTATATCAATAATAAAATATTATTTCAAGGACAACCAATTTTTTTAAGGGATTTAAAATTCCACAATACATTCGGTAAAAGAAGATAGAATATTTCAAGTGACGTTGACATTCAACCCAAAATGTTTTAATTTGTTAATATACCTAACAGGCTAACACCCTTTTTTCTTATTGAATCACCACGGCACCATATGAGGAATATCATGTTTGCATTACTTCCCTTATGCAGCATAATTTATTGCAACAAAATACAATTTATAGGTTGGTTACCTACACAACCATTAAACCATTGCCTTCAGTAAAAACTTGCAGCTGGATCTGCTTTCCTTAGCCTCATAGACGTAAATTGGGAGGCATAGAGGAGCATAGCCCCCTATCAAAGTATTTCCTAACTTAACCTTGTGTCAGTATAATAAACTATGTCATTGCTTAATATTTTTCATGACAATTGATAATTTATATTTCTATAGCCCCCCCCCCAGATTTTTAACCTTATACCATATATGCCGGCTGTGTCTATGCCTATGCCTATAATGTATACACAAATTCAAGCTTTACGATGGTGCATATTACTATATATTGGCTACCCCGACTTATCTCTTAATTATCCCCATTACATGGTGTGTTAGCCTTAGCTATCGTCTAGGAATATGATCACAAATAAAACATCTGAGTGATTACTGATTACCTATAATGAGAAGTTACGTTTGTTGCTATGCAGGTTATAAATAACAATGTTTCTATTTGTATATTATTTTCATTAATGATAATTGTAATGAGAACATGTTGTTAAAAAATATTTAAAATATTATGTCAATCTATGTTTAATGACGTTTTTGACTGACTACTGTTGACAATATTTATCTCTGGATTATTTTCCTTGCTATGTGTGATACCATATCCAAAATAAATGGCAAAACCTAAAAAAATATAAATTTAACAAACAATAATAAGTAGTAACAATTATATCTACGCTGATTTCAGAATTATTTTATGACTAGTATCTTCTGTTAATTTACTTTAATAACTAATAAATAAGCTCCAAGTCAAACAATTTATATTCTATAAAAACGAAATAAATACCAACCAATGATCATCCAAATGATGAATTTCGTCCATGTGTATATGTCGAAAAAGAACATTAAATAAATGTTTATAAATATACTCAGTGCCGGGGTAAGTGGTACAAGTGGCACCTGTAACAAAAAAATTAAAATAAAGACCATAATATTATATTATTTACTGAAATAGAATTATGATAATTATTATGAGCAAGTAGCTGATTTACTTTGAATGCTACTGGTGTTTTAGACGTCGGTTGCATAGCGATGGATACAAGTTGTAAAATCATGACACCTACAAGAACCTGTACAATGATCCAATGGGTACTGTTTAGCTCGTACCAATGACTTAAATAAAGACCAAGAGGCAAACATACAATTGCTGAAATTGAAATTTTTTTTATTATTTGCTGGTCAAAATGGTTTTCGATTAAGTATTTTGATATCTTTGGGCAAATATGGTTTTGCTTACTGAAACACGTCGTTTGTAAAGACGCTACATAACTACTCAGACTGTTTGCCCTCACGAATTTGTGGAAGTTGAATAATTGTTTCAGTATTTGCTTCTTTGTGTGTTGTACTTTTATCGCGACCAATGCCGTAGATTCGATGTATTCGTCAGCCAATATATCGTAGTCCATATCGCTCTGTTCTTGATATCTGTTATAAAAATTATTGCAAGATAATAACATAGATAAAATAGTGTTATCCTTATGAAAGATGTAGTTGGTAACGAAAATTTCCGACAAGTTTTGTTTTTACCTTGTGTACAGTACGCAAACAGCGACCATGACGTATACAAGCAGAGTGCCGATTGTCATCATATCCACTAGTTGTTGGAGATTTAGTAAAGCGGAAAAAAAACCTTTGAAAAAAACAAAATTGAAAATTGATTGATATAATTGAACATTAATATTTTTTATATCAATAATCAATAGGTAGGTATTCTATATTGTGATCACCATTCTGTAATTCTGTATTAATATACATAATAGATACATTAATACCTAAATATTATTATTATTATATGACTATATGAGTGAAAATAGTTCAGTAGGTACCCGTAATGATTCCTGCAAATATCGTTCCAAAAAATGGAGTCTTGAACCTTGGGTGTACTTTCCCCAAACTTTTGAATATCAGACCATCGTTGGACATTGCATACAAAATCCTCGGCAGTGGATACATTGAACCGAACATGCTAAAAACGTTATTGTTGTTATTGTTATTATTTGTCAATTTTTATAGCTGCAGCCATAGGCGGCATTGGTAGTTGGTTCTGATTGTTGGGGGGGAGGGGGAAAAATTAATCACAATTTCTGACCCATTTAAAATGATAAGTTTGCCCTCTCAATATTTTTTCTTGGAGTGCAACTGCCCCTTCTTGACCCTCCCCAAATGCTGCCTATGGCTGCACCAACCATTAAAATGTTCGATTGCTGTACATAGGATTATATTTCCATAATTGCATACTAAGTATACCTAGACTCAAGTCACTTAGAGAACGCAAGTCGGTGGCGCCCAAAACTCGTCTATTGCTGCGGATTCCCACCACTTTACTAGTGCGAGTACCGCCTGTCAAACGTGGGCGCCGACGCTAGACTGCGCAGCATTGCCGTTGTATATACACGTAAGGGCACCCCGTGGGGGGGGATTTAGACCTCAAGACTGCGGATCGAGTACATTTTGATGCGCAAGCGACTTGCGTTCTCTCGGTGATTTGGGTATACTTACCAGGCACACATCCCGAAAACTGCTCCTACTCCTATGATCCATTTCAGAGGCGTCCATCCAATAACGTCGAACGCATGACTTAATGGCATATTTGCGTCCTAGACATAAATGCATATTTAAAATGTTCGTAAGTATTTTAATATTTATTTAACTTGTCACTTGGGACAAAAACAGACTTTTTAAATATATATTATCAGTTTTAAGCACATATTACATCATCCACCTGGTACACCAGGTACGTGTTCCACAAAATGTCAAGATAAATATATGTCATGGTAAAAATATTACAGCAAAAACGTAGCGATAAATATGTTGCAAAAACAAAAATGTCGCATGCGCTGGTAAGATTTTGCTGCAGTTGTCGATGTAACTCGTAGTTCCGGGTTAGGTTCAGTGGTTACTGGTTAGTTGGTTAGTATACTTATAGTAGAAATAGATTAGAGTAGGTACCATTGGTAAGACGGTAACTACGAAAATAAAGTTCAGTGTGTAAACTGTTAACTGCATCCATCATAGCAGAAACTCACCATTACAGTAACTTACTCTCAATAACCCAGTCGATTTGGGAGCTTTAGATTATGTACCCAAAAATAATGTAATTTCAGTAGGTATTTGAAACTTTAGTTGATTCCAAGTTTTAAGTAGGAAACAAAGAGTGTTGTATCAGATTTAGTAAATTATTTTGAAGTGTATTATTGTATAAAGAAAAATATAAAGATTCTGCGATTGGACTTAAACAGATATGTGATGATAATAATCATGACAACAACCTGAGAGAAATATCATTAATTCATAACTTTTAATATAATTTAAACTATTAACTATGACTATGTACTTTGTACGTATATGATAAAGAACACAAAATTAAATTATCATATAGATGTACCTGATGTGTATATAATATTTATTAGTTGTATTTTCATATTTTTGACATCGCTATCATTTATTATTTGTCTATTACTTTTTAATTATTAACTATGACAGTGTACTTTGTACGTATATTATGATGAATAATATTAAATTAATTTATAATATAGATAATATTATGTATATTAGGTATATATAAACTGTATTTTTCATAATATTTATATTATATTCACGTCATTTTTAAAGCGAAATTATGACCCGAGTCCTACCTACCTATACCGTGCTATATATTCAAATATTTTCACAACAAAATAAAAGTAGATATTGTAGATTCTTTATTTTAATTTACAAGTACTGGCTTCTTCATACTTGTAACATAGTAAAAACCTTTATTTTTGCTCAATCAAAGTCTTTAAGTAATTATATCAATTTTGTAAAGAACTGGATTTCATGTGCATAATAATTTTAAGACTGTCTGACTGTCCCGAGTTTGATACACCAAATACCAATAACAGGGTGGTCGCAAAAATAAAATATAGAGTATGAAAAACCTTTCATTGGCAATGGTATAAATTTGATTTTGATATATTCGTATCAAATTTATTAAGCTACATGTTATTTTGTAAAAATAATCTACTATTTATTTGTTTTCTCTAATTTCTGATGAGGTAGGTAGTAGGTACGTATTAGATGGGCGGTTTGCGTTTGGCCAAGTTTTTGAAAAATTATTAGGTCATCTATCAAGAGACAGTCCTGTAAAGAATACTTTTAAAAAGTACTTGAGTAAATACTCAAATACATTTTTTTTTTTAGTATTTAAGATACTACTCAAATACTTTAATTGTATAGTATTTCAAATACTACTCAAATACTTTGAAAAAGTATTTGGAATACTTTTCAAATACTTTTGGTTTTTAAAGTGGGTTTCTAATTATCGTAATACAAACAGTAGTAGGTTATTTAATAGTTATAGTTTAAAGGGAATATTGTTATTCAATAACTATTTTTAGAAATCTGGTTTTCACAAACCATCGGGCTACGGCTAACACAGAAATACAAAATATTAAATAAAATTATTATTCTATTATTGTAGTTGACAATAATATTTTTCCAACCAATTATTTCGAATAAAAATAAAATGTTCGAAATAAAAAACCAAAGTATTCAATACCAAAAGTATTTAATACAAAAAAAAGTATTTAAAATACTATTCAAAATACTTCATGCTGAAAGTATTTAAAAGTGCCTACCTGTGCGTAGTAAGGTATCATCAACGTGAGGACGGCGGACACTCCGGAATAGGCGAGGAACACGATGAAGAGTGACAATGCGATGGCTAACGGTAATGACTTCTGAGGGTTTTTCACTTCTTCGCCAGATGCAGCTATACAGTCAAACCCTACATACCCGTAGAAGCAAGTGGCCGCCCCTTGCAATGCTCCTTGCAGACCGTAAGGCCAAAAACCGCCTTCTCCTGCCCAGTTGGGCACTTCCGCTTTCGGTAGTGACCAATTTTTGAAATCGACTGTGGTCCGAGAAAACAAAAATCGATATAACTTATACAAATCATTGAATTCTGCATACGGCAAATCGTTTAACTAAATAATTTTTACTGTGAAATGAACCACCAACGATGACTATGACCATGATTGCACAATTCAACAACGTGAATAAGTTATTGAGACGCACCGAATCTTTGAGACCGCAAGCTAGAGCGACTGAAACAGAACATAATATTTAATAGCCAATAAAAATGCATAATGATAATGTATTAGGTACTCATCTACTTAGATTTAGATTTATTTGTATTTTGTTTATTCAAGTAGGTATAGGTATACCGGTATACCTATACCTACTTGGTATATTCCAAAGCTTGCGCTAAGAAAATTTATAAACTGCCCAACATTTTAATATTTTAGATTCTGAGTGGAACGATGAATGTATTGTTTTTACAATGATGTGTGCTTTTTATTTTGAAGATTTTTTGTGTCATCACCTTTTAGGACAGTAAAAGTGCTTGGATTTTCTTCAACAATATCTTTTCTGATAGGAAAGTGAATCTAATTGTTATTTTGGGGGGGGGGGGGGTCAAAAGTAAAAATGTCATAGTAGTTTTCAAAGGCGAGGTGAAAAACAAAAGGAAAAATTAAGGAAAAACGGGAATTTTTACGCAAAAGTGATTTTTCACAAAATCAAATTTGGTTTTTGGTGTAACTTTAAAACAAATTACCGTAGATACATGAAATTTTCACTGGTTATTTATATTTGCATTTTCTATACACGATAACATTTTCAAAATATTTTGATTTATTTTGAACTGTTTAGGGACATTTTCATTTTTAGTTTTTTTTTTAGTTTTTTTTAAATATCAATAAAATTCAATTTGTTGGTTAAAAAACTTGAAAATTTAATAAAAGGCTTCTAGTATAATGTTTCAAAGGCAGATTAAAAATATTAAAAATCCTTAGTCACAGTTTTTTTTTATAATCATTTAAAGTTCAAAAATTGACAAAAAATCACGAAAATTAGCAAATTATTTTGAGTTAAGAATTCGTAAAAATTTTTCTTTTTAAATCTAAGATTTAAAATGTAATACAAGATTCCTTATGAGATTATATACCTTTATCAAAAAAAAAAAAATGTCTATATGAAAGTCAAATTAAATTTTTATGAGCGTTTGAAATTCAAATTTTTACAACATTGGATATTCACTTGATTTCTCATGTAGCGATTTCCTTATCTTGTTGTAATTCAAAAACGAATAACTGTAGATACTTGATAATTTCACTGAATGTTTATATTAGCACTTCCTATACACCATACAATTTTTAAAATATTTTCAGTTTTTTTTCTACAAATATTAATAAAGTTTTATCTGTTGGGCCAAAAAGTGTAAAAATTTAATACAAGGCTCCTGATATATTGTTACAATATCAGTTGATAAATATTAAAAATACACATGCACGATTTTCTTTTATAAGCATTTAAAGATCGAATTTTGACAAAATTTATCAAATTTAAAATTTAATAATTATTTTGTAGTTAATAATTTATAAAATGTTCAACTTTTATATCTAAGGATTGAGAATTTATAACAAGGTTCCACGTTAGTAGTTTATTCTGTTACCGAAAAATCAAAAAAATACATAAGCACAGTTTATTTTTATAGTCATTTTAAGTTCAAATTTGGACGAAATTACATAATAAAAAACGTAGAATAACTATTATATTAGTTATTTTGTTGTGATTGTATAATATTAATCTTGGGTACTTGAAACTTTTAAAGTAGGTACACTATTATATATCTATGATAGTATCAGGGTTTGTTGTTGATGTATAACTCGTTATAAGTACCTAATGGATATTGTGATATGATTAATTTGGAATTCATTATAGGTCAATTTTTTTAATACCATAGATAAGTATGTAATATGTCCTATACCTAGAAGGGACATACCGTCTCAACTCAGAATCGTTTTTCTTATACAATGATATTGTATCATTGAATTCAAATTTAATACCATATTACCATCCATTATACAGTGACCCACTTGTAACTGTACAGCAGAGCACCTTTTTTACATGCAGATTAAATACATTTTTTGTTCGCTAAATTCTCTAAAATCTATTATTTATTTAATATTTTAATTTAACATACCTATGATAAGATCAGTATTTTTACTTTTATAAAGCCATTTTTTCATAAGACCAGAACTCTTTTTTGGGGCTAATTTTTTATTCTAAAATTTAAGTTTTGAAATATTGATTAATTGATGCTAAAACAGTTAAATAAAATTGTGTGCATAATAGTAATAGCAGCCATTCATGCAAACATCATCATTTAAGCTTGAACCGAAAAAATATGCCTACTAGTATAACTAGTAGTATAATTTAACAATAAAAGCAGAAAAGGAATAATTATATAAATAATTAAGCTATTTAGTCTACTTATATAAGCAAACTAAGATAATGCAAGCTTAAATTGGTAGATATGGATACATATTTTATATCATAGTACATAGACACATAGTACATACTGAATGAAGGAAGTGCTTTATTCTTCAATATTATTTAAATATGATAAATAATATTGAAGCCTTTAGTGAGTGGTGACGGTCCACATATCAAATTATATCCTTGTAATAGTATTTAGTAATAATATGGTGACATTTGCTGGATAAGAATAAAAATGTGTTTACTGTCTACTAATGTGTTATGGAATGGATTCATGATTGATAACATTTGTGGCGATAAAACCAAACAAAAAATATTAAATAAAATACATAATTAAATTAAACAATATTACATATTATGCTAATAATACAGAGAATTCACGATTTATAGTACTGACCAAATTGGTTTTTAGAATTGCCCATTTTAATTTAGAACTACCCATTAGCGCAAGCTTTGGTATATTCAATTAGTTGAGCATTTCCCTTATATGTAGAGGTAAGGACAATCATTAAACAATATATTACAGAGTGTATAACAAAGAGCATAAAATGTTTCAACGAAATTAAATTTAAATGTCAGATACTCGTTATTATTTATACTGTATATACCTAGGTATAATAATTTATAATATATTGTTATTAATATTTAATACTAGCTGACCTCGTGCACTTTGTTGCACCTAAAAAATGCCAGCTCATATACGATTCAAATTTTATTAAAGCATAAAAAAATAGAAAAACAGAAAATATTAAATTTAAAATTTTTTTTTTGTCATTTTATATTAGATGTACAAATATTATAGATAGGTTACCTATTTATATAATGTATTTTATTATTATTTAAAAGTAAACTCAATAGTAGTCCATAGTTATAGTTAAAGCAGATGCACTTTAGTACTTGAGATTCAAATATGTTGAGGATTTTTGCTTGCATATATTTGAGTTTTTTATCGGACAGAATTCGTTAGTAGATAATAGAAATCGAAAACACAATAGCTAAAAAATGAACCTAAATATTTCATAAATGATTCCATGTATAGATTATGCTAATATGCTTTTGGTAAAAATACCCAAAATCTATATAATAATATATTTTGTTAAAAATTCCAATTTTCCCTATTTTTTTTTTTTTTTTGGTTATTTTTACAATTATTAAGTAAATTACTGGTATTTTTACTTTAGAGCAATGTTTTAAGAAAGTTTTATCTTGTACACTATACTAATATAGGTACGTTAGATATATGCACATTAAATGCACGCTTATTATTACCCACACATTCACACCACAGCAAGCATGTACGCATTTCGTAAATTAACTACCTACCTATAATGAACTCAATAAAACGGTGGATCGGTCAGGTGTATGGTGATATGATGATTCAATTCACGAATTGATCGAGTGATGTTTAACTGTTAATATGCGAAAAACAGAATAGATAATCAATTAATGTCGATAGGTCAAAATTGAAAATTAGCCTTTTGCATAAAGTTTATTCAATATGAAATATGTGCCTAAATAATCTAGAAGATTTCTTACGTAAGTCTTATCATCGTTTTGATAGTTTTAAATAAATAAAACAATTTTAGTAAAAGGTAAAATAAATAAATACCATGGATTTTATACTTTAAAGATAAATCTTAAATTTTTTTTTTTAAATTTCCTTAACAGAATTTTTTTTTATTAACTATATCTAGTTATTACTTTTTAATACGAATTGTGATTATGTCTATTATTTTGATATGAAAATCTAACCGCATAAATACAAAAAATAGGTATAGTAACAGGATCCAGAGGCCCTACACTGTCTGTGACATCAAACATAATAAAGAAAAACACCGATTCAAATTGTGTCAAACTGTGCACGAATACAACTGGCCCTTCAAATATAATATAATAATAATTCAGTTACAATCAGTGATAATGTGAATACCAAGTCATACGCATAGGTACGCCCTTATAAATATAATATAATATAATTATTTAAGAGGACGTTGCACCCGCACGTGTCTCTCCGTCTTACAAATGTACAACCATGATTCCCTACATCGTGTGTACAAAAACTGTTTTGCTCGGGAAGGAACTGAGAACGCTAGTCATAACTAAGAAAGGAAATTTTCACTACATAAAAAAGAGAATTTTGGCTGTTCAATATCCTTTTTATTTTTATCGGAACTTCAAAAAAAGTTATTGAATAAGTTTGAAAAACACAAATAATAATGGATTTTGAAACAATAAGAACATTTTTTGTATAAGTGATACCAAAAAAAATAAAGACGATATTGCACAGTCAAAGTTCTCCTATATATGTGGTGAAAATTTCGTTTCTTAGTTATGAGTTTATGACTGTAGCCTTCTCGGTTCTTTCCCGCGCCAAAACGTTTTTGCTATGCCGTACGTGTGTAGACGGATACAACATAATATGCAGGTGCGATGTCCTCTTAATAGTCACAACCTCGGTCACAGCAACTTAACACTATTTATAATCAATGATACATAATTGTATATAGAGTATAGACAGCTATTAAATTCGTAGAATGAAAATGTCATTATTTTAATAATGATTAAGAACTTCTCAAGATTGTCAACAAAAATACGTTTCCTGATTTGAAAAAAAAAATGTTTATTTCGTATTTCTATTTACTTTAAACGAATAATAATAATAGTAATAGGGACAAAATCAGGGCTCCCAATTACCATAAATAAGCCGAGGCCCCGTCCTCAATTGCGGACTACCGGTCCTGGCAGTGCCAGTCCGACTCTGGGTACTATACATTACTATATTTAGAATAATATTATGAACATTACCTGCAAATGCAAGTGATGAGGTTTTTTATCGATTGGATGTAAATTCTGATGTCATAATGGTAAAGACTATGGTTGTTAGTTTTTATTAACAATTATTTAATCAAATGCATTATAATATACAGCTTAAATAATTGTCTAATTATTGCGTAGTATATTTTATATTTTAGCTTATAAAATAAAAATATGTATGCACATGTCAATAGTCCAAGCAAATAGTCTAAGTATTATGCATAATACTTGGACTTATTTTTATGGGTCTTATTATTAATGATTTAAAAATTAAAACAATCCATTCTTTCATATTTTTTTCTGTTTAAATTCACTCTGCAGCTTTAAGCTGCGTTTACACGGGGCGTGAATTTTAGAATGAACTACGCCACGACACCTTCGTTCGTATCTCACGACTGAAAATCAAACATTGTTTGATTCCATCACGTTTGGGTCTTGGGGCAGAAAACGTGGTTCACTCTCGTGATAAACCTAGCTTTAAAATTATACTAGCTATTACTTATTAATAATACTAAATACTCTTGTATCTTATTTCGTTATTGTTCCGTGTTTAAGACGTATAATATATAAGTTAAACCGTAAAATATCGAACGTTACAGAATGTAGAATACAAAATTACAAAGCACAGAGAAATGTAGGTAGGTACCAATTAACGTATATAATAAGTTATAGAATATGTATAACATATATGTTAGTAGTTAATACTTTATAAAAATATTGTGTGTGATCGATATGTTATATTATTACACCAATACTTGTAGAAAAGACAATAATGAGACATGGGTCTTTATTTTTACCAAAAATTGTGCTTTTAATAGCACATAATAAAATATGATAAATACATCGTTATCGGTTTTCGATAGCTACAGCGTGTGAAATATTGGAATTTACACTATAATACGCACATCTCATCTATGAGCGTTAAAGGCGTAATAAAATTATCATACTATTAAAATAATAATAATTATGTTCCTATAGTATAACAACCTTTTTTATGTTATCATTTTTTTTATTTATTTCATGTATTCCCATTCTAACCTTTATACCTACTTATACTAATTATTATTATTACTTTTTTTTATTATATACATACATATATAATAAAAATTAAGGCAGAGCCGCTCATTGAGAAGCCATGATAAAATAAAACCACGTTCATTCAATTCGATAAGATTATTTTTATAACTGGGTTCGAATATGTGATTGTGATCACGTCTGTAATTATGATGTATTGATGTAAATAGCCTAATGATTTAAGTCGATATAATTTTATTTTACAGTATTGATACCTATGTATATTATCTTATAGCAACTTATTTGCAATACACTATAATAAGGTAATATTATCAAAGAAAAAGTAATAAATTTATAGTAAATACGTATTTTAATAAATAGTTCAAATAGCCAATAGGTATATTTACTATACGAACTTTCATTATCTAACTTTTTTTTTAATACATATTTTGTTCTTAACGCTGAAAAGACTCTTAACTGTAGAAACGTTGTTTAAAATCTATCATCTTATCAGTTATTATATATCGACCTAGGTTATACAATTTTATAGTAAGTTGGTTATTACCAGAGAACAGAAGAACAATGAACATGGCGAAAAAGTCGAAATACTCGGATAGGTATGGTAATTCGATCTCATAAAGTCCTCTGAAAGCTGTTTCCATATTCTTGTTTAGTTAGCGATCGATATAAAGGACTCATTCCTCTGGCTATGCTCGCGCCACCTGGAAAAAAACCATAAATAACATTTTGTAACATTTTAAATTCATATCATATCCAATGAACATATTAATAAGTCGCATATGAACTTAAAACTATTATCGATGCGTGCGCACAGTGTATGTTTCACTTTAAGTTGAACATTCAAAATGTATTTACGCATCTTCGGGAAATAATGAATTTCACTTACAACGTTTGGACATAATGTGCAGAATTGTATGATTAAATTGATTATGCAATTAACTCATTTTTTAAAAAAATGTCACTTATCACACTTGTGCGCTACGCCATCGATTTTATCTATTAAACTATTCTATTATTCTATTATTTTGTGTTAATCAAGGGTTGACCAGACTTTAGTTGAAGTTTACTCTAAAGCCTTCAATATTTGGCATAAGTTAAACATAAAGGATAGTTGTAACTTGTAAGTTACCATTTTATTTAAGCAATTTTGGTTGACGTTGATTTAAAAAGTAACATAATTATATTATAAATTATAGTATAGTTGAATAAGTCAAAATAAAAGCTTACAACTATTGAAACACTTTTTGTATGTGGTATTATTACATATAACAAATTTCCAATTTATTATATTATTGAAAATATAATTAGTAATACCTATATCTCCTATAATATACGTATACCTTTAAGTTTTATAACACTTTTTTAATGACATTTTCTTGTTAAAAAATTACTTATGTTGTATAAGGTTGCCTTTAAACTGAAAATTATTATTGTTAGGTATATATTTTTTAAAGTATTTATTAATAATACCTATTGTGTATTCTAGTAGTAGATTCCATCCAACTATGAATGCTGCTAATTCACCAACGGCGATATAAGCATACGAGTAAGCTGATCCTGCCCTGGGGACTCGACTGCTAAGTTCAGCATAACATAGTCCTGGAAAAAATTAAAGTTAAAACAAATTGTGTATACAATCGTAGATATTTAAATGATAAAAATTAAAGTTCTGATTGTTTTATACTTGTAAAGATGTATAATGTAAACAAAGTGTAAACTATTCTCACCAATAAATCATAAAATCTTCAATATAGATATTTCATGAAAATATAAATGTGTAATATAATGTTATTGTTGATATGTATAATATATTATATTCAATATAATATACCTATTATGTCATTTTATCTATTCTTTATTATTTTTATTAATATACAAATAAATAATTGTGGGTTTGTTAGTGCTTGCTAACCAACTACGATCGAAAATATAACAAGTGTTATCCAATCCGTTACAGGCGGTTGTCCATCTTTGTTGAATAAAGTTCCCCTGTGCTCGATTTGGGAAAAATGAAGTGGAGGAGCTTAATCTAAGTATTTAAAAATTGCGTTCCAAGGGCGCAATTATTCATCACAGACCATACAAAAAATAGCTGGGGGAACGCAAAAAAAAAATAAATAGTATGGGAGCTCAGTCCCCCCCTCAATTTGAGCATTGATAAAGTGAGGTACACCGATGCCTATTTGACGGTGAACTGAGGTGCACTATTTACTCTGTTCCAGTTAGGAACGTAGTCGGCGGCCAACTTGTGCCCAGGGGCGTGGCAATACTACACGGCAGGTATACAGCATACTGATAATTAACTAGGTGGGGTTGACAAACGGATGTTGCCTGCCTGCGGCCTGACGAAAACTAGTGTAACATCATAGGCGTGCGCAGCCTCCGGTTCAGGGCAGCAAGAGATTAATTCGGCCCATTTTTCAAATTCACCATTAAAACCAGCTCATAGTTTTACTTTTTTTACTATTGAATATCAAAATTAAAATTGTATTGGTTATTTGTTTTTTTGGATAAAAGGTTGTACAGTAAGGTACTAAGCCACTAAAGGTGTACTTTTCTACAAGCGTATATAAAATATTTATCTATAGTTTATCAAAACAAAAAAAAATTTTGTGGAAATATAATTTTACCGAGGCCCATTATTTAATATTTGCCGGCCCCGGTGGCCCCAAAGAAAGTCCAGGGGCAGCATATGCTGCCTATGCTGCCCCGTGCGCACGCCTATGTGTAACATGTAAGGTTTCTTAACTTTAACAAAGTTTAAAACCGAGATACACCTATAAGAATAACACCGTGTATTATATTTGTTCATATTTTCTTGGGCAAAGTTCGGTTAGACAGCTAGAGCTAGTGTATATACATTGTTTTGTATACCTATTTCACAAATATATTTTAAAACCTCTTTACAGTTTAATTACGGTTTACAGTTTAAATAGTTGATTATATACTACGGCGAATATATTAGATATTCATACCTCAAAATGGACAAACGGTCCTGACTCCATAATGATTTCCTATTTCAACTCAATTTTACAACTGTCTTGGCGCATTTGTACCTATACTTGTTGACAATCAGTACCTATATTTATTATAATAGACGGGACTATAATTGAAAACATTAAATTCTCAGAACAATAAATATTATGTACATGCGTATGTAACATTTCGATTAAAAACATTTAATGGCATATTATGTTATTTATGACTCGTAAATATCGACAATTATTAACCTTTTAGCTGTTTTAGTTATAATTGATTAAATAGTGATTAGTGATAATAATTGATAAAAACAAACCTAATAAGTATCCTTATAGTCCTGCTAATGTTTCTAACTTAACTGTATTTTGTATCTATTGTAACTCTAGTTGTAAATTAATGGGGGCACTCAATTGTGTTATCCAAAAAATTTTTGAATAATAATGTACTTCAATACTTGTGCACGATAAATTGGTATAATTATTTTGAAAATATGCAAAACATGCAAATTAAAATAAAATTTTAAAATATTAATGAATAATTATAAAATAGTAGGAATTAATTAAAACAAAACTTTATTCAAAATATACAACTATAATAAGCAAATATCATAATATTGTATCGTTGTAAATCTATTACTGTTAAATTATTTAAGAAGTACAATCATGTATTCTCAAATCCTGAAATATGCAAAGTATAGTAGTGATGTAAAACAATTTTTTATCAAATTTGATTCCTTCTTCTAAGTAGAAAAAAAATAACACGAAACACATCAAATTTAGGACTTATATATTAAAATGTTGCAATCGCTATAGGCGTGTTTAAATATATGGTCTATCCATATACATTATTTTATTCCTGTAAGTACATTATCATTATATTTGAATAACTATATATTTCAATTATAAGCTATTGTTCTGAAACTATTATCAAGTATTTTGATTCGCGATGGACTTCAGTTTTTATAATAGCAAATGTTGTGATTTGCTGTTTATAGGTCAATACTCAATAATATATAATATAATATACATACTGATATGTACCTACGTAGGTATCTACGAGATTATTATAATTTCAAACTGCACCGTCGTAGGTATCTACATTAAAATGGAATGAGCTATTTATCGAATTTGTTTTATAAAGTTTGTTGACAAAATATTTATAATATACGTTATGGCTGATAATATTATTACATTATCTTTAAGCAGTAAATTAGGTTAATGGCTGTGTAAGTATAATATACTAAATATACCTAAAAATTATTTAATTTCGTGTAAACATATTATAGAATTTAGATATATCTCATTTTATATTTTTGATAAAATAGTGATATATTTTACAATACGCTTAATTAGCTTGTACAATGTACATGCACCTAAATGTACATATGTAAACAGTTATGTACTATGTACAACTATTAACTCGTTGTTTATTTAATTTTTATGTAAATAACCTAATTTGTATTTAGACTATAGATTAAAATATATAATTATAAAACACGCTATTATGACTTATAATATTATTATACTAAGTCGCCTCCTTAACTTGCTTTATATTATTTATATTATATTGTTATAATATTATGTTAACTGTTAAGACTATATTCAAGTATTTTATGTACCTATATGTGTTTGAAATGAAGAAAAAATCGTCGTGTATCCAATATCCATCTATCTACCTGTATTTATATTTTAATATTTTTGTATTTTATTTTTTAATAATTATATAATTTATATTATGGGGCCTGGTATGGAGTGGTGGTTAGCAAATGGCAGCAGTAATAGAAAATTATATCGTCCTGCGTTGAAGGCTCCCTAATGGGTGACACATGGTTGTCGAGGGTAAAACTTTTTTTTTATTACTAATGATAACTTCAAACACGAATGGTCGAATGGCGCACTATTTGTATTGAATTACAAAAAGGTTGTATACATATTCATCCTAGGGGGACGGAGTGGCGCCGAGCGGTCTAAGGCGTCGGTTGTGACGCAGCCGTCGCCGGTTCGATTCCATGGTCATGGGCGGTCTATTTCTTCGGTCAAGTCACGGTGTCCGGAGAACAAGTGCCACCATTCCGGGCATGGCAGATACAAACACTCATGTGTAAAAACCCACCTCTTCAAAAAAACCCTACCACCATCACAATACAACCCTATACTAACAGCTAATGGCCATAGATGCCGGGCTTAAGGATCAATAAAAAAATAAAAAAAATATTCATCCTACTAATATTATAAACGAGAAAGTTTGTAAGTATGTTTGTTACTCTTTCACGTAAAAACTACTGAATGGATTTTAATGAAACTTTACAATAATGTAGCTTATACATCAGAATAACACATAGGCTACAAATTACAATTTATAAAGATAAATTGTGTGAATTTTTTAATTTTAATTTTAATTAAAAAAAATTTGGAAATTTTATACCTATACCTTTTTTAGTAAGAAATAGTCCCTGGCTGAAAATAAATAACATTCAAACAATTTGTAGGTTAGACCTCTGGAAAGAAGACAGGCTAATTTAAAAATGGTTTAATTTGGTTTTTTTTCTAATTCGTCTGATATTAGTACGGTACTACGGTTAGGTTAGGTTAGAATTTTGAATTAATTGATTATATAGCAACCGCGCGAACATGTTCAGTGGGGCCCATTATCTTCTTGAAGAATAAATAAAAATAAAAAATAAATAAATATTAATCCACCATAGGTGGAATACGACAAACTTGGTATAAATTTGATACTTTAGAGTTAAATCATAGACTTATGTACAAACAGCACGGGGTCCGCGATCTACCTGCTGCGAATCAGAATTTTTATTCCGGGCTATGGAAAAGTTAAGGTAGGTACATTTTGAACACCATACACCGAATATCAAATAACGAATTGAACAAAGTTTTAGTCATATAGAGTTGGTACGTTTAACGGGAAACGAAGAGCACGGGATCAGCTATTTTTCAATAAATACGTTATTTGGTAACTGTATAGTTATATTAGTTTATATATAAAGTTATCGGTGATCCGATTAGAAGTGACGAAATCATTAAGAACGTACAGGATTTGCACTTTCATAGAGATTGGCGTGGTGTACATGTATTTTGATTTTTAGTCGATGTTATACCTAATTAGTTATTAAAATATTATTATGGATCGATTAAAAATGTAAAACACAAGAGTCTCGTTATTTAAATTCTGTTAAAACTCTGTAGTAAAATTATTAATCTTAATCAAAATATTAGATTTTAAAAATTTGATAGGTTAAATTGAATTAGGTTCATATGTCTTTGTCCTTAGAAACCTGCATTTATAATTTTGATATTGTTTTTCGTATCTTAACGATCTATGTGTATTTTAATTCAAAACTAAAACCAAAAGGCTACAATCTGGACTCTCGAACGTATAAATAGACAAATAGTTATGACATATTAGTTGGTTAGTTACAATTTAAACAGATTAAATATTATAAAAATATATTGCATCAAGTTTATCATATTTATACATGCATGATTATTTAATAAAAAAAAATATAATATTAATATAAGTGCCTATATATTTTTAGAGCATTTCATTCGATCTTTATTTGAAAATAAAATACAATAGGTAGTTACCTAGTTTAGTATTTTAGTATTTGCTTACATTATTTTATGCACCTATATACGACTAACCTAATAAATAATAATACACCTTTAGATTAGTTATTTAATTATTTTTCATTTAAAGTAAATTTTTTAGATACTTCTACGAATGCAAAATATATCAAATATCATACAAAAAAAATGTTTTTATTTAAGAATGTAATAATCATTTTAAAAATTACTGTTTTATTTTTGGAGAACTGAAACACTAAAAGTTATTTAAAATGTGTCTGATAACATCTTCAATGTATTTACTATTTTCATACATACAAAACTGGATACCAAATGTTACAACTATTGCTGGATAAGTAAAATATGTCCAAAATCCAAATAATTAACATTGGGAAAAAAACGTTAACATTTACTGCACTTCATTAGTGTTCTTCAAGGGTGATATCCAATTATTAAAATATAACAACATTACTTTAACCTATATTATTAATACACCTATAAGCTATAGGAAGTATTAACTTTAGATATAAAATACATTTTTCTAATTTTTCAGCAAGTAAAATTACTTTAAACATCAAAATTTGACTTCATTCTGTTTCTGGTCCGTGTGGCTTACCTATTTAGATTTTAGAGCCTTAAACACACAATATAAGGTTATGTGATGTAGGTTACTAATTTACTAAAAAAATACTGACCGAGTGTTTAAATTAATCTTAGTTTTAAAAAAATATATTCCCAATAAAAAATGTTTGAGTGATGAACTTTGAACTCGAATATATTAAAAAAAAACGCATAATTTATTGAATATTTATATAACACAAATTCATCATTCAACGTCAGTAAAGGTAGGTACGTCAATCAACACGACAACACTCGATGATGTAAATCGTACACTTATTGTGGAGTAACTAACATATTACATAGATCAGTGAAACTGCACTAAAATTTTTAAATTTGAACTATATACAATCGCTGAACATTTCTCGTTTGTTGTGTGTATAGGTACTTTGTGGTTTATTTGTTGTACTAACCGGCAAACACGGAGGCAACAGCGGCGATGAAAAACGACACGACGACCGCAGGACCGGCCACGTACTTTGATAGGGCACCGGGTAAAACGTACACCCCCACGCCAATGGTGCTTCCCACGCCCAAAGCCGTCAGGTCGGTGGTTGTCAGCACCCTGTCCAACATGGACGACTCGCGCACTACGCCAGCCATCGTCTTCTTCCGGTTTAACTTTTTGCTGACCGCCATCGTAGGTATATTAGATATTTAGATAATAATGTCCGCAGAGTCGCGTGGCTGCCGCTGTGGGACCGCCACCTACGCGCTCTGCTCGCTCGCGCGCTCCGAAGTCGTATCCGCGGAAGACCGGAAGCACAGAACCGAATGATTTTTACCGGAATTTGCCAATAATACTATGTTGAAAGGATATAATGTGTATAATATTGTGTGTGCAATGTGGCCGAATGATAGATGATATCGGTCGGCGGGTGATCGATAATATTATGTGTATTCGATTTATTTATTAATTATCGTCGTATACGACTGGAGAGCGAACGAGCGAGCATTTGGGCGGACGAAAATTCGACGTCGTGGCGAGACGCGTTCACAGTACAAACTGCGCGTGTTTCCATCACACGTGACGACGAGCTGCAGCTATTATAGGTACTTATACTTACGACGTCTTATCATCTCGGAGAAGAAGGAGACGGCGTAGATAATAACAGTGCGATATATTATAAATAGTATAATATATACATATGTATAATATAGGTATGTATATAATATATTATAATAAATTATTATTACTCGATGATTATGCGTACACTCGTACACACTATTTACGGTGTGATCTTGACGTCAATACATGTTGGCGATAAGATAATATTTATGAAGCGTGCATATGTAGCACGCGGTGTATACACGATAATTATTATAGGAGTGCAGTACTGAGACTGATTGACGGACCATTGTGTAGTGGAGGTCGAGTGTTCGAAATTCAAATAGATCACTGCCTTAAAAGTTTTTAGGCGGGAGCAGTTTTTGAATATTATCATACGTAAATAAACTTAATAATTCGTGAATGAGCTGAAAAGTTGATCTTAAACCATTAAACATTTTTTATATTTTTATATAAAACAAGTAAAATGATTTTGAAAAATTATAAAAATATATTAAATGTATTAAAATAAATATTTGAGAAGTATGAGAACTTATAACTTATATAAAAAGAAAATATAAAATAAAACTTTCCTCTCTCAGTTTATATTCTCGCCTCTACAAATTCAATAATAAGTAAATTTACTCTTAAATTAACAACTAAATAAACCATAGTAAGAATCCGATAAGTAAATTTGCTATATAACGTATGTGTATGAGAGACAACTGACAAGTGACAAAACATGCGTGTACAAGTGTACAACGTGCTCTTAAGAGGCTACACAGATATTTGTTGTCTCCGTCTTGCAAGTGAATAACATAGACAATTTATGCTCAGCAGATCACGTTTAACCAGGAGTTAAAGTGGGAAAAAATTCCAGAGGGGACTAATGTTTCCATATAGTTTTAAGCGTTCCATATATAATTTTATGTATAATGTCTAATGTATAAAATCCTAATTTGTTAAAGGGGACGCTTTTTAACCACCGTCCGAGGTAGGGGGACTGAGTCCTCCTGCGTCCCCCCACTTTAAATACTGAGTTTAACTCATTTATTTTAAAAATTAGAGGGAATCGACCTAATACAAAACTTGATGGTAAGAATATTATCTGTGTCTGAATGTGGGTTTTTTACGATAATTCAGTTTTTAAGTGAGTTATGACCATTAACGCTACATTATATATACGCATAACTTACTAAAAATTTGAACTATCATAAAAAACCCACATACAAACACAGATAATGTACTTACCATCAAGTTTTATAATAGGTCGATTCAGTCTTATTTGTACTAACGGAGCTAAACGCGTTCTCTTGAGCATAAATTGGTATATTTGTTTATAAACTCTTTACTAATTTATTTTTATAATGGCATTTGGCGTCATTTATTTCTATCTCATATTTAATGGTGAAAAATATGTACCAAAAGTATTATTATGAATTATAACTATTACGATTATAGCGCTGCCGGTGCATAAATGTCTTAAATGATAAAATAACAGCTCTAAAATTCTTATACAAAACGCTGTTATCGTTGAATACTGTTTAATGTCGATTATCGCTAAACGTATAATCATTGAATATTGATATTTGATTATTTATTTACCATGTATAATCAATATTATAACCTAATAATTATCAAACGAAAATACCTCTTGATTTTCAAAACCACCTAGAAGGTAAAAATAAATGCATTTTGAGTGTGGGTATTATTAAAACGACGTTCAGGCGCGTAGTGTAGAGACGGACGTTAGGACGTCCATACGAACCTGTGACTAGAAGGAGTGAAATAGTATAAGTTATACAGTACCATCTATTATATTAATATTTACATTTTAAATTTATAATACACAATATACAACGATCTATAGTATATTTTTAAACACAATTTAAAAATGAATAATTAGGTACAGTAGTAGTAAAAAAACATATAGATATTATATATTAAAGTTTGGTTTTAGTATCTTCCATGATTGCAGAATTAGCTGTCGTTACAATCTTGATTTTCTTAGAATCGAGTATCGGTCGTTTAATTTTATTTTATTTAGTACATTTTTGTTGCAGTATTGTCATTTTACAGAATAATACAATAAGGAAAAAACCCATTGTAAATACTACATTTTTTGGAGTTATAGGCAATTTACTTTTAAAAATATCAATTTTTGATCTAAATAATTACTTTTTAAAATTAATAAAAATAAACTGTACATTTCTGGTTTAATTTCGTAAGTTGGTTGATTTAATAGGGTGTTACCACTGGGTATCTTCCCTAATCTAACTACTCATATCATATTTTACCTTTCATATATCAAACCTACTTATTGTACAAAAAGCATGTATAGATTGTAAATTTCTTCAAATAAATAAAAAAAAAAAAAAAAAAAAAAAAAAGTTGGTTGATAGAACACTTAAATAGCTTTAAGATAAAAAAAAATTACGTCAAAATGTTGTTTAGTTTTGAAGATACATAAAAAAATGTGGTTTGGTTTTGATAAAAAAAAAGTTAACTGCCCATAACTTAAAAAATAAAAAAGTTAGACCAACTCTTTAAAGGGTACTTCTTCATCATTTTGGGTGTACTTTCATATGAAGTCGGCTGGTCACTTCACCCCGGGACACATAACTTATAATATCGATAGAAATAAACGGGTGAAGTTGTATGTAAAAATAAATTTACATTAAAATCTACTGTATTATCTAACGATTATTTTGCGCGATATTAGACATAAGTTTCGACCATATAAGCTAAACTTTATAAACTGCATGCGTTATATCGTTGGTAAAACGTACAGCCGCTAGTTCAAATGCAGTGTCCATCGAGTTAATTACGCCTGCAGGATCATAAGCAGGGTTTATCGATATTGCAGATCTGAATATTTCGCATCTTCCTCTATTTGAATAAACAAAAATGCCACAGCTCAGTAGGTGGATAAGATAATATGATTAAAATACACATACACTTTACAATATAATATATAATCTAAATTCATCAATATTTAATAAAATATATATTATATTCTCAAATTATGTAATTCACGTTATAATATGTATACCTACTTGAATATACTTACATAATAATCTACTTTTTGTAAATAATTTACTTTTTGTGCTATAATATATAATTTATATATCTTTAATAATTTCGTTAAATACAGTCCACTTAACCGTATGCTGATCTCTTGTAACAATATCTCAAATTTTGATTTTTTTTTTTATGATATTGTTAACAAATCTAAAACCAAGATACACCTTTATAGCGCTATGTTTAATATTATTTTCATTTTTTTACTGACAAAGTCAGCGTTACACAGCTGAAAATGGATGTTGGTTTATCCGAAGTTTATAGACCATTAACAAGTATTTGACCGTTTTCAATTTATTAAGGAATAATAGATTCCTTGAGACATGTAGGGAAGGCGGGGGATTATAGCTTATTTTTTCAACCCCGATAGGTATCTAAAGAGTAAAGGGTATCTCATGAAAAAAGAATTTTGTTTTTGTTTGTGTAATGGTTGCAATTGGTTACATATTATATATTTATATTACTAACATAATATTAGTAGAAATATGGCATACCTATACATTTTTTTTACAAATAAATTAAAAAAACAAATCTTTCGCACGAACAACGCCGGATGACCCAGCTAATACAGCATATTAATTTTTTGATAACAAATAATAAATTATAAAAAAATTCGAAATTAAATTTAATAATGTATAGAGTAGGTACATCGAATCTCACTGCAAATTAAGTCCTATAGTTTTACTATAGGGTAATTACGAGTAATCTAATTCATTTTTTTCTTTTAAATCAATTTAACCAATTCATTTTAGAATCCAATAATCCAAAATAATAATTATATATTATAATAACATAATATAGGTAGGTAATTAAATATATGTACGTACCTATTTCCCACTGGATCACGCATATCATCCATTATGTATTTAATAAGAACATAGTGTCTCTTACAGCTTTCCATAATATTTCTATTAACAGGTAATAATTGATATTGTGCATACCATACATTAAAATTCTCAATCAAAAACTCCATCTGGTTAATAAACGGTTGATCTGCATTGTTATCTTCCGAAACAGCCAACCATACACATTTTTTTATTAGTGTCAATCTTTAAAAAATAAAGTTATTGTAGTTATAACTTATATAGGTTACTATTGCCAGAACATTATAATATAACTAACAATAGGTGTCAGGTACCTCATAGTGATTTCTAATAGTAGGTACATAATAATATGTATGACGTATGTAGTATGTGGTGCACTGGTGCTAAACTTGAAACGTATGATGTGTATGAAATATTAAAATAAAATTCAATATAATAATTTTACCTACTTATTGGTTTAAAAAGTTTAAATTTACTGATGGTTTTATACGTAAAAGCAACTATATTGTATATTAACGTAAGTACTAACCTGTGAGCATCGATTTCATTGGTTTGTATGTTCCATATGTATTCTTTTAAATTATAATATAAACGTCGATTTGGTGTGGAAATGAAAACCTTATATTTTTCTTCAGCATCACATTTTTTCCAATAAAAATTTGATGTTTCTGGGGAAAGTGTTGGCT